ACAACTGTTGCACAATGCCGTCATCCTAGTTGAATTGGTCACATGACTGCATCACATGACTAAAATGCCTCGTCGTTTTCGAAAGCCTCTGTTTTTGCAGTCCAAACTGCAACGTGAAAACGGCGTTTTCAAATTTATCTACTTTGGAGAGTGTTTTCAAAAAGCTCAGTTTTCCTTGACCCAAAACGCCGTCTCAGTGTGGACGGAGGCCGAAACGGAGAGAAAAAGATGTGTTTTCAAAGGAAAACGTATTAGTGTGGACGTGGCCTGAGCTTCAAACTCCAGTGCACGTGTTAATATTCGTGAGTGCTGAATGAATGAACTTTGTTAAACTGCTTTAATGGAAAGGCGCTTGCCTTCTTACGTCCCGGTAATGATCAATGCTGCGATGTGGCCAGATCTGACTGCGTCAAACACTGGACCCCTCCGACCATGGCTTACGCCTGTCTGATTCCTGTCGCTGGGATTGCTACAATAAACCCATGCCTGCAGCTTCCTCGCCATCATCGGAGAGGAGTAAACTTCCAGAACCTGTGGACGCTCCTCGACCTCATTAAGGATTAGCCTTGCTAACGTTCGCTCGTAGCTAACAAAAGTTGGACCTTATGCTCCTAATGGAAACTTGGCTGAGAGCTGGTGAGCTCAATTTACTGAACCGACTGTGATTATTTAAACTTGCCGAGGACGGGCAGACGGGGGGGTGGAGTTGCGGCTGTCTTTAAGAAGAAGCTTACATATAAACAACTATCAACTGACTTCTATTCAAGCTTCGAGATTCTACTTTTTGAATTGGGGAACCCACTCCCATCTCTCGTTGGAGTAATATACAGACCCCCAAAATATAATAAAGATTTTATCTGTGATTTTTCTAGTTTCTTAGCAGGACTCATCCCAAGTTATGATCAAATCTTAATTGTAGGGGATTTTAATATCCATGTGTGCTGCTCCTCCAACCTGCTGGCTAAAGACTTTTTAAATGTGATAGACCCTTTTAGCTTCACCCAGCATGTATTGGATCCAACACATGTACAGGGCCACACGTTGGACCTCGTGTTGTCTTCTGGATTACCAATTTCTAATTTGGAAATATCGAATGCGATTTTCTCTGATAATTGTCCAGTAGTGTTTAACATACTTTTATCTCACTGCCATTTTAAACCAACAATCCCAACACGCCGTTATCGTGTTTTTAAACCACTGACTATAGAACAGTTCTCCACTGCCTTTAAAAAATGGTCGGGTTCTTCCCTTGTTGATGGCACCGAGCAGATCGAATCAAACTTTTCTAGTAAATGCAAGGCTGACAACTCAATCAGACCCGAGGACAAACGAGACGACCCGATCAGCTAGACGACAGTGCAGGAAGGCTGAACGAAAATGGAAAAAAGACAAGCTACAAGTTTCCTTTCTGCTGCTGAGAGAGTCTATCGAGATATCAGGACATTGTAAAAGCTGAAAAATCTAGGTTTCTCGCAAGCAACTCTAATAATCCCCAAACTCTCTTCTCAGTTATTGATTCGGGTCGAATACCTCCCCTGCCTCTCATATGTATAGCTCTGCTGAAACTTGCCATAGAGTCTTGCAGTTTTCTATTAATAAGATAGAAATGCTTCGATCTGTGTCGACCCTATCTCTGTACGATGCCTCACTAACATATACCTGTTCTACTGCTTTTAACCAGTTTGAGCCTGTGTGTTTTAACCAAGTGGGAGATCTTTGTAACAGTATAAAGACATCATCCTGCCCCACAGATGGAGTCCCAACACATTTTTAAAAAGATTAAACATTTGAACTATTTTAATAGTAGTCTCAGCTGTGGAGTGGTACCAACTGGATTTAAGCACGCTGTAGTGCAGCCAGTATTTAAAAAATCGAACCTTGACTCCTCTGTTTTTGCTAATTTCAGACATATTTCCAAGTTTCCGTTTCTGTCAAAGGTTTTGGAGAGGATTTTATTTGAGCAGCTACAATCCTAAATAATCATAATATCTTTCAGAAATTCTGGTCAGGTTTCAAAACCCACCACAACACAGAAACTGCCCTCCTAAAAATTCTTAATGACATTTTGTTAATCACCGATTCAGGTGGCTCAGCTGTGCTCCTGCTTCTAGACTGAACTGCAGCCTTTGATACTGTTGACCACAGTATTCTGATCTCGCGACTGTATGGTTTCGGTCGTACCTCTCCGAGAGGACTTTTTCCGTGAGCCTTGGTGATTTCACTTCCTCCACAGCTCCATTTACTTGAGGTGTCCCGCAGGGTTCCGTATTAGGCCCAATTCTCTTTTCAATCTATATGCTACCCCTAGACATAATCTTTAGGAAGCATAACAGCTGCTTTCACGCTTACGCCGACGACACCCAGATTTATCTGCGGCTTAATAGAAACACCTCCACTTCCATGGAATCTTTATTCAAATGCCTTGACGAAGTTAAAACCTGGATGGTCTCAAATGTTCTTACCTTTCATGAGACAAAACTGCAGTAATTAGTTTTAGACCAAGCTGTAACTTTAATGCCCCAGATTTAGATTTATGTAACTTAGCATTTGTTGTTAAAATAAAAAAACCTGGGGGTTTTCTTGGATACAAACTTGCATTTGAGAAACTAATTAATTCAGTTGTTCAGCGGTCCTTTTTAAAATTAAGGCTCCTATCCAAGGTGAGGTCATTTTTATCCTGTAAAAACCTGGAGCGAGCAATCCATGCGTTCGCCCTTTCTCGGGTGGACTACTGTAATTTGCTATACGTCGGTGTCAGTCCGGTCTGGCACGGCTCTAACTTGTACAAAATGCTGCAGCCTGCCTTTTGACTCATGTGAAGAGACACCAACATGTTACCCCGGTGCTTGATTCTCTTCATTAGCTTTCAGTGCATTTTAGAATTAAATGTAAAATCTTACTTTTGACTTATAAAGCGCTAAATGGCCCAGCACCGGACTATTTGTCTGACCTTTTGCAGCTTTAACAATCTACCTCTGCACATTAGAAAGGCCCCACCTGTCACTCTTTAAATCCCATCTTAAAACACATTTTTTCTCTTTGGCTTTCTACACTGTATGAGAGTTACCAAGTTGTATTTGAATTTTCTTACCTGTTCGATGATGTTATTGTTTCATTATTACGTTGTACAGCACTTTGGTCGACTCTTTGCTGTTTTTAAATGTGCTTTATAAATAAATAAATGAATAAAATGACTAACCGACTCAGAGATCCCAGTGGCCCTACCTTCCTGCACCTGTGTCTTCTTTAGGTGCTATAACGAGATCAGGACAGCATTATAGACCCAAACTGCTGTTTATTGTGAAATGTTAAACGGTGTTAAGAACAGCAGCAGTTGGGTAGTAGTAGCTCAGGAGCAGTGTTGGGCAAGTTACTTTGAAAAAGTAATTAATTATAGTTACTTCTTCAAAAAAGTAACTGAGTTACAAGATTCTAAAAGCAATTAATTACTTGAAAGTAACTATTGCATTACTTTAAAAAAAAAAGTTTAACCCTCCAGGGTATAATTGGCCATTTTAACTACTTTTGGTGTTTCCTCTACATTTCACCTTTACAAACTATTTATTTGCCTTGTTTGGTCTCATTGTTTTCAGCACAACCTCACGTGTCTGAATTTACAGTTATCTTTTCATTTTGACTACAGTATTAACACAACTGATCTAAAATCAGATAAAAAACATAAAATCAGAGTAGAAAGTGATATTTTTTACTGTAACAGCCACAAACATGTTTATTGAATCATTTTTCATAACTTTAAATGCAAAAACTAAACTGTCCATTTTAAAATCATATGCACAGGTTTTGCAAACAACAAAGTGATTTGCAGTAATTTACCCGTTTTCTAATAACCATGTCAAACTGTTTACAGAACAATCAGCTGTTCTTCAATAAGATGCCACAAATTATTTGTGCCAAATATTTCTGTCCACTATAAAGGAAACATCACAGCCTGATACCTGCAGGTCTGACAGCAGCAGGTGTGTCACTGCTGTTTCTACCTGGAGACAGCAGTCGCCTCATTGTTCTGACACAAACACAAAACTATCCACAACACTACACACTAACTACACAAGACAACACATTAACTACACACTCCAAACACGCTAAACGTCACAAATCTCTCACATCTCAAAACTCGCTCTCTCTTTCATCACTCCTCCTCTTCCTAAACAACCAAATGTCATGTTGCCATATAATTTTTTGATTGGTCGACATGGTGCATTTTTCTACCAACAGGCTGTTTTTGGTTTGTTTTTTAATTTTTTGACTCATAAGCAGAGAGCTCGCTGCGCTGTCGAGTCACCTTGTTGCTTTGTCTGTAAGTGGTCATGTGATTGGCTGACCACGACTACTTTGTTCTTCCTCAGTCAAACAGCAGCACTCATGCGATTTTTTGCCCCCTTAGCTCCAGGTGTTGTGCCAAAAAGTGATGTCAGCCAGAAAGTGATCGCTGTCCGCGGGAGCGCGCAGCTGCTTAAAGCTGTAGCGTCCAGATTACTTACAGCTACTTCCTGCAAGCTGATATAAGAGCTAAGCTGAACACAGCTTCAGCCGTCTGTTTGTTGAAAATAGTAACGCGACTGCATTTTCTTGTTAGTAACGGTAACGGCGTTGTAACGATAGAAATAGTAATTAGATTACTCATTACTGAAAAAAGTAACGCCGTTACTTCTAACCCCGTTGTTCCCATCACTGCTCAGGAGGTAGAGCAGGTCATCCTCTAATCAGAAGGTGGGAGGTTCGATCCAGTCTCCAAGTATCCTTGGGACAGATACCAACCCCAAGTTGTTCTCTGATACAGCAATCCGATTATTGTTCAGCATCTGCAGACAAGTGGGAAACCATTTCTTTACCCCCAGTTTAAAGACAGCGCCATCTATGGACTCGTTCTTAATTCATGTGCCACTGAGTTCCTCAAACGTGCCATAAAAAAGCAACAGGACAACTGAAGTTTGAGCTTCTTCACACTTTGGCCCAGAAGTTTTAATAAGAACAACTGATCAATGTCGTTATCTCTTTATTGTTACAATGCAATCAAACATCAGCATCTATTAGCACAGTGTAACAGTGTACCAGCCCAAAGTAAATCCAACATAAAAGCCTGAGAGGAGGAGTGAGGTGGATGTTCAGGTGCTCGTTTTCTTGGGTCTGCCTCTGGATTTTTGGGCAAGTCCGGGTGATGTCTGGGTTCCCATTTCCACAAGTCTGGATTTGGGGTCACTGCTGGGCACCTTCCTGGATTTCAGAGTCTTTTGGGGACTTTTCTTTGGTCTGTCTGCAAAGTTAAATTCAGCAGGCTGTCAATCGTTTAACCCAAATGTTGTCATGTAGTTTTCATTCATAGCCTCTGCTTCAGTTACTCTATTTAGAGATACACTGACAAAAACTGGTGCACTCTGAAGAGGAAACCAACCGTTCTTCTTTGTGACTCTCTTTTTCTTGACGGGACTCAAATCCACCTCGCTCTCCTCCGCTCTATCGGCTGCCAACTTTCTTTTGGTCGTCTTCTACAGAGAGAGACACACGAAAAATATGAAGAGAAGCACCAGTCGGTGTGCTGATGTTGACTAAAAGACATTACTTTAAACCTGGGAGTCCACTGTGGGTCCTGTACAGTTTGTTTCTACAGAATATGTTAAATCAAGAACAAATGTGAATAAATTCCCACATAGATAATTACTGTCAAACTGCCTCATGCCATAAATTGAGATTTAATTCTACTTTTACTGAATTAATATAGTGCCAAATCACCACCATCGCCTCACACTAAGTTATTCTGTAAGGTAAAGATGCTACAACCACACAGTGACAGTGGGAAGGAAAACTGAACAGGAAGAAACCTGGCCCCTGGCTCAGGGAGGGGCATCCGCTGTGGGGGGGGGGCAGGCAAGAAGAAACACTGTAGTTCATCCAGACATAATCTGATGTGTTTAACAAGCCTACAATGTGCAAGCCCATCTAGCCTTTGCTAACAGACGCACACACGTAAATGACACAAACCGAAGAAGCCAGCAGCTCGCAGTCACAGCCAACAGCAGCCACAACATCCTTGCAGCTTTATGATGGATGCAAACAGTCGATCCAGGCGTGCACTGATGATTATGTGCGTCTCACTGACCCTGAGCTCCTCATTATAGACTCTCCTCAGCACTCAAACTCTCAGTGCTGGAAAACTGCTACGTGAAGTTCTATCACAGGTATGAGGAAATCCCAGAGACTCCCCACAGGAAACATGTCATGCACTAGAATCCGACTGTCGCCATTACTCTCCTGATGTAGGGCTGTGACACTCTGCATCGACTACAACATGGACCGACCTGGGTTCATTCAAGGTGAAATGTACTTTGTAGAGCTTCCACAAACACGACGGCTGCTGAAGAGTTCATAAACTTATTATGTCTGTCAAAGCAAACACGGTACGTCCTCAGGAAGCACAGGTGCCCCCAGAGAGAGCGATGCGCTTATCACAGGCAATCAGCTCCTCCATCCGTCGCCGTCCTTTCTGGGCCTGTGTAACGAGACTCCGCCCACTGCCCCCCTTTCCATTTTTGCCTCCATTTTGACAATTGCTACCTCATGATCACCATGCGGCACCCACTGAGGTGAACAGATTGGCGGGATAATTACATACAATAACAAGCACCAGGGCCCAGTAACCCTTCGGCTGGCAACACCACGTCCCCAGTGGCAGCTTCCATATGCACAGAGAGCATGTGGGGGAGTGACGGGGGGCCCACTGTCTCTCTCTCTCTTCTCTCTCTCATCCCCCCTCCCACTGTTCTCTCTACCCCCCTCCCCATTCTACCCGTCATCCCCCCCCCTCTCTCCCTCTCTCCCCCATCTCTCTCCCCTCCCCTCTCCCTCTCTCTCCCCCTCTCTCTCTCTCTCCCTCTCCCTCTCTCTCTCACTCTCTCACTCTCTTTTGCTCCGTCTCTCTCTCTCTCTCTCTCTCGCTCTCTCCCTCTCTCTCCCTCTCTCTCCCTCCTGTCCTCTCCCTCCCCCTCTCCCCCCCCTACCCCTGGTCTCCCTCTCATCCCCCCCCTGTCTCTCTCTCATTCCCCCCTCCCCGTCTCCCTCTTTCTCTCTTCTCTCCCTCTGCCCCCCCTGTCTCTCTCTCCTGCTCTCCCTCTCCCCCCCCTGTCTCTCTCTCCTTCTCTCCCTCTCC